CTACTACTACTACTCCTACTGCTACCCTGCTCCTGCTGACACCACTGCTAACACCAATAGTACTACAGGGCTAAACAAGGCCCCGCCCTTGTGGCTCATGGGTTTGATTCATGAATTCGGGTTTCTGCCGTAACCTTCAAGGTTGCGGGGCTTCAAAGGCTGTAGGAGTGCTCGGGCTATGGGCTTGGTGTCAATACGTTCCGGGTCGCCGGGGCTATAGACATCGGCCTCAGGAATTCCATTCCGAAACCTAGACCTGAACACCAAACTCTCAATGCCAAAAGCGACAACCTAAAGCCACTAAGTCCTGATGCCGTAATGCTCAGCTCCAAGCTTAAACACGACACCCCAAGTCCGAAAGCCATTTCCCAGGACCGCAAACACAGAACCCCGAACCGCACCCCCAATCCCTGTAACATCGAATTCGAAACAGCTAGGCAGGGGTGTTTAATGACATTATACAAGGAATATACTCGGACACCTTGAAAAATGAATAAAGGTTTATCTCGTTGACGCTAAACCTGAAGCTCTAAACTCTAAGTGTCTTTGGTCCTCGGCCAAACAGATCAAGCTCTCCAGACCATTGAAAACCTGGGGCGGTTTTAACTTTCGTGGCCTTTAAGGGACTTTAGAACTTTGAATATAACCAGGTGTTCGGGCTTCAGAACTATGCTTCAGAAGGATTTGCTATACTTCAGCAGGATTTGCAAGCGTCGGTGCTGCGGCTTCGGTTTCAAGGCTTAGGCAAGGCCCCTTGAGCATTTCACATTTCTCCACACTGGCAGATGCTGCAGCAGATGTTGAAATCGTGTGCAGCCATGACAGCAAGGGCAAGCACCTTCAAAAGCAGTGCAAAGGATTTGTTTGTGGCAGCCGCGCGCCGCTTGCTGCGCAAGCTCGCTGTCACAAACAAATAAGAACGGCTAATCCGAAGGGGGATCAGGCCGACGACTTCGCAATATGAGTCCCAGCATCTATTTGAGACGTCTGTTTTGCATCTCTGATTCCGCGTGAAAAACATCGTGGCATGACTTCGTATCAAGCAAAACACTGGCTGGAATTTGAGAGGCCGAAACCCACAACTAATACGCTGATCGAAACTGACACTCCTTCATTGTGCCTGTCCCGAGACGACTGAAAGGTGCGTGACGCGACGCGTGTTCTGTCACAAATCCTCGCCCCATAATGCTGCATATGAAAGGCAGTGCGGTTTCCAAAGGTCTCCGAAAGACCGAACTTGTCAAGAGCTCGTGCTATGCTTAACCGGCTGAGGTGACAAATGTGACAGCAACACCTGTGTTGGAACATGCTCACAAGAGCCTGTGCCTGAAACCCTATGGTGGCCGGCACAGCGGAACGTGATAAGAAGAGCTTGTGCCTGAAACCCTATGGTGGCCGGCACAGCAACTCCTATGTTGGCGAATGGCCGCCGATAATCGTCCTTTCCTTGACTTGGCAGGTCTTCCGCTGGAAAGGGCCGTCGGCATGCTGAAACGGTCAAAGAGACAAAGACGTTCGACTTCCATCGCATTCTCGAAGAGGACTTTGACCCGCTTCTGCAGAGCCAGCGAAGCAACAGCAGAAGGGCCACCAAAAATCATCCTTTCCTTGCTTTTGCAGGTATTCCCACTGGAAAGGGTCGTCATCTTTGAAGCTATACTCACGTTCGTTTTCGATGGGATAGTGCTCGAAGATGAACTTGACCCGCTGTTGGTCAGCCTGCGAAGCGAAGCATGGAGCGGGCTTGAAGCAACATGCTTCCTACTATGCTTAACTTCAATGAATTCCAGCCAAATCTCGTCGAAGAAGAACGCCGTGACGAAGCTCATTTTGGAAGTTATCGGGACCTCTTTGTTCCCATGGGGTCTGATGAAGAACTTGCTGGACACTTGCTCAACGTCGGCCGCCCTGACGTTCTTCCGCCACTCGAGTGCTGGACTTGCCATACTGACGTTGCTCAATTCGACACCGAGGACGTTGCTCAACAAGCTCGATAAGCCACCACCTTCCATGACGGGGTGAACCCTCTCGAGCTGTTGCAATGCAACATGCACTGCGACGGGTTCGTGTGAAAAAACTGAAATGATTACACGACACACATTACACTACACACATATTCACTACACACATATACACTACACACATATATATCGCATGCTTGCACTACACACATATACAACGCATACACCTACATAGAACGCTTACATAGAGATTTCTATTCAGCTTGGGGCCTGGGGTAGGTACACCGTTTTTCCATACAAAATCCACATGCAAGGGCTCGGGCAATGGTTTTTTCTGGGAACAGCCAGCAGACAGCTGCCTTTGTGCAGCAAATGTCTATAGGAAAACTCATGCAGCAACCGGTTGCTTTACGTGTTTTTCCACAGAATACCCACATGCAAGCACACGTTTGTCAGGAAGTAAAACAGGAGAGCTCAGATCAAGGAAGCATCTGAAATTAGAGTATGCGCACTACCCGCATGTACATTCGAGAGAACTCACTGATCAGCAGCCCGGAGCACAGAGTGGCATGGAGCACATTTTTAGACCACTCTGGCGTGGGGCCGAACGGCACATCGAGCATCACGCGAATTAAAGAGAGCGATCCCCGATCCGCAACCCCGACCACCGACAACTTCCGAACGAAGCAGTCGGTAGCGAAATGCTCGACCGAACAGTTGGTGCCGACTCCGAGGCTGCTGTCCATGCCCCCTGGTTGGGCGCCGGAGGGCGTCTTGGAACTGGAGCCAGAGCTTCCCCTTCATGTGTCGTCTCGGCGAGGGAAGTGCCCTCCACCCCCTCTGCGACGATCGTCATTTCGATGGCAACCGCCGCCATATCCGTAGCCTCCGCCCTGGAGTTGTCTTGACCCCAACCGGCTCAGATCTATCCTCCCGTGATCTGAGCAGCCAGAGGTTACGCAATGGGTTTTTCTATTATAGGAACAGCAGACGCGCCGCAGCACGTAACTATAAACAAACAACTACAGTAACACACACACACACACACAGAGACACAGGCACAGGCACAGGCACAGGCACAGGCACAGGCACAGGCACAGGCACAGGCACAGGCACAGACACAGACACAGACACAGATACAGACACAGACAGACAGACACACAGACACANNNNACACACACACACACGCGCGCCGGCCCACTTCGTTTGTTTATCATTTCGGTTGGGGGTACCTGTCTGTGCTACATGTGGCCTACTGTGTGCCTGCAGGCTCTGTCCAGAGCAAACCAATATTGCAAACCGGAAGGTCATTCAAGAACACCACCGACGCCGCACCACATACACCGGTACATAAATATATATATATA